AGAAGAGGACTCGTAGCTATACTCCCCTTAGAACCTTAATAAAAATATGACTTTAAATATCCTTTTGGGTTTTGTATAAACAAAAATGAAAAACAATTCTAAAGGGGGATATAGGATTAGGAAGGTTTAGGTACCAACGTAGCTAAACTTGGCTCCACCGTGGCACCTGGCAGGGTTTAGGGTTTGGGGTTTGGGGTTTGGGGTTTAGGGTATGGCTGACTGTTAAACAAAGCCAGTGAGCCGCAAAAGGCTCAGGATCTAAGGTTTGGGTCAAGAGCTACGGAATCCAGCGGGTAGCTGTTTGCAAAAACCCGCGGCCATGACCATAAACAGTTACATGGCTCCCATAGGGTTTAGGGTTTATGGTTTAGGGTGTAGGGTTTATGGTTTAGGGTGTAGGGTGTAGGGTTTAGGGTTTAGGGTTTATGGTTTAGGGTGTAGGGTCTAGGGTTTATGGTTTAGGGTGTAGGGTTTAGGGTGTTGGGGTCGTTGCACTTTTAGGGAGTCTAGGCTTTAGGCGGTAGAAGTTAAGGTTGAGGGCTTCGGACACCTAATACGGTACTGAACCCAAGAACAACCCAAAAAGTCCAGCCCTAAACCCATAAAGCCCTGTAAGGGAGATTTACCTTTGCAAGCCCAAGAAACCCCAGCAACCTGATAAACCCTATCACCACCGCAAACCTTTGCAAAACCCTGTAAACCCTTTGAACCCTACAAACCCTAAACCCCATAATCCTACAAACCCCACAAAGCCTATAAACCCTAAATCCTATACCCTAAACCTGACAACCCTTACAAACCCATAGCCCCTAAACTCCCCTTAGCCCTAAACCCGAAGCTTCCCAAACCTGGGGCCCGAGCGGCTTTACGTGGTATCCTCCTCTTGGGGAGCCCGCCATATGGACCTGGGCTGCCCTAAGCCCCTAAAGCCCAGAAATTGCGACCCGCAAACCCCTAAAACCGCAAAACTCCTAAAACCTGAAGCCCCTAAAGTCCTACAGCCCGTGAAGCCCAAAGCCCCACAAACCCCTAAAGCCCCGAACAAACGACAAAGACCCGAAACCCCAGAAACCCTAAACCCCAGAAACCACAACCCCAGAAACCCTAAACCCTAAACCCTAAACCCGAAACCCTAAACCCTAAACCCTAAACCCTGAACCCAAACCCCTGAAAAAGGACCCTGGTTAGCCACAAACCCATAGTGGAGGTTCCCCAAGCTGACTCTGGCAACTCCACATCCCCAACTCGAGCTGCGGCCTGAAAGTTGAGGACTTGAAGTTTAGGGTTTAGGGTTTAGGGTTTGGGGTTTAGGGTTTAGGGTTTGGTGTTTATATAGGGTTTGGGGTTTCGGGTTTAGGGGTAGGGGCGTGGAGTTTAGGGTTTAGTGTGTAAAAAAGGTTTCGGGTTTAGGGCTCAGGGTTAATTCGGGCCTTGGAGTTTAGGGTTTTGGGTTTATACAGTGTTTGGGGTTCAGGGTTAGGGTTTCGGGTTTAGGTTTTGGGGTTTAAGACCAGGAGGCCCCTAAAACCCAAACTGAGCGCCCCTGCTGTCTTTGGCTGTGTCCAGCACAGCGCGGGATGCCCAAGCGAAGGGACGGAGAACATAAAAATCAGCCAGTCTGATGGACCACAGACGGTTTGGGGTTTAGGGCTCAGGGTCCAGGGTTTAGGGTTGAGGGTTTAGGGTTTAGGGCGATGGCGGCGCCACGACGTCAGCAGCTACCCGCAGAAGGACATCCATCTCACGCCCATGGAGTGAACTATGATAAAAGTCTAGGGCTTAAACGCCCCAAATCCTAAACCCTAAACCTTCAACCCTGAATCCTAAAACCTGAACCGGAACGGGCTCGGGGTCGACAGGGCTCGGGAGTCAGGGCCTACCCTAAACCCTAAACCCTAAACCCTAAACCCTAAACCCTAAACCCTAAACCATGCAATTTCAAGCACAGCAAAGTCTACAGAAGCCAAGACGGTCACTTTTTTTCCCTTTGCGGGTCCGGAATCCTTGAAGTTTAGAGTTTAGGGCTTTGTGTAGGAATAGGGTTTGGGGTTTGGGGTTTGGGGTTTGGGGTTTGGGGTTTGGGGTTTGGGGTTTAGGGTTTAGGGTTTAGGGTTTAGGGACCAGCCCGTAAACTCAAAACCCTGCACGGTAAACCCGGAAGCCTGAACCCTAACCCCAAAACCCTGACCTTGAACCCTAAACCCGAACCCTAATCTACCCCTTGCTCAAGAACCCCCTTCCCCCCTGAAAAACAAAAAAATAGGTTCTTCCTTATAAGGGTCAGATAGGGATCATTATCTTGATTGTTTTGGGGGGTTCTTAAGCAAACAGCGTCTAAACCCGGAACCCTAAACCCTAAACCCTAGCCCTAAACCCTAAACCCTAGCCCTAAACCCTAAACCCTATACAAACCCTCAACCCTAAGCCCTAAACTTCCAGGTCCGAGGTTAGGAGCCTTTCCTGGCTCTCAGGGTCGCGAGCGCCTGCGTGAAATCGTGCACTTTGCCGCGCTGCGCCTCGGCGACCCCAGGGTTTACGGTGCAGAGGGCTTAGGGTTGGATCCTAAACCCGAAACCCGAAACCCTAAACCCTAAACCCTAAACCCTAAACCCTAAACCCTAAACCCTAAACCCTGCACCCTGAACCCTGAACCCTGAACCCTGAACGCTAACCCTACTCCAGGAACCCTAGAGATGAGATCCAGGGGGCTTGAAGCTTAAACCCTGCAACCTTGAACCCTAAACCCTAAACCCTAAACCCCTAAACCCTAAACCCTAAACCCAATATAAATCCAACCCCTAAACCCTAAACCCCCACTGAGATCTGCACCATGGTCTGAGGTGAAGCGTAGTTCGCCCCCCCGACACGCGAGTCATAGCCTGCCTCTGCGCTGCGTGGGGCTTTGGGCTTCACGAGGCTTTTTGAGGGCTTTTTTGAGGGCTTTCGAGGGTTTTAAGAGGGCTTTTGAAGCTTATGAGGCTTAAGAGGCTTGCTGAGGTTTTTGAGGGGTTGTTGAAAGGTTTTAGAGGGTCTTTTTGAAGGGCTTTTGTGGCTTTGAAAGGCTTCTTGTGTCTTAGGTTCCCTGTATGTGGTCGGTGCGTCTGGGAGCCTTCTTCCAGGGCCAATCTGGGTACAGCGACAGCACTGCTAAAGAAGTCATCGGTCTAAGAGACGCGCACCCCTAAACCCTAAACCATAAACTCTACACCCGAAACCCTAAACCCTAACCCTAAACCTAGCAAAGGGAGAGGCCTGCGTGCAGAGAAGCACTTCCTGCGGACCGAGTTCTGGCCTGGGGCAGAGGAGATCGGTTTTTTAGCTTAGGGGTTCGGGCTAAGGGGTTTAGGGTTTAGGGTTTTTAAGGTTTTAGGGACTAGGGTTTGCGGTTCAGGGTTGAGGGGTTTAGGGCTTAGGGGTTTGGCTTGAGGGTTTAGGTTTAGGGTAGTGGTTTAGGATTTAGGGACTTGACCCAAATAAACCAGGCGCCCTTTTGGTTGACAGGGGCCTATACATAAGGGAACCGAAGCCGAAACCCACCAAAAGGAATAAGGGCCTACTCTGGGTCCTAGAATTTGGGTTTAGGTGTTCGGGGTTTTGGCTTGAGGGTTTAGGTTTTAGGGGTTGAGGGTCGTCTAGAGGATGAGGATTAGGGCGTCTCGCCACTGGGTTGGCGGGGGGGGGGGGGGCGCGGCATGTCACGCAAAGGCACATGTTTCTGATGCAGTTTCTGTTTCCCCCTGCTGTGAGCTTTCACAGGCCACCACCCAAACCATTGTTTTTTAGGGTTAGAGGGCTTTCGCCCATAATTCTCGCCATGAAGAACGCCTCAAGTTCGAAACAAACAAGAATACGCCTAGGGGAGGGCTCCCAGACAGATATCAGGTCCCAGCAGAAATTTCAGGGGTCCCCGCGATTTTGTGGGGGTGTCGCCCAGACAAGTCCCTAAGGGTTAAGAACCCCATAATGTTGAATCCCTTGTTGAGTTCTCCACCATTCTACTGAAGCTGCTAGGAGCCCCCGAGGATCTAGTTTCTGGACTCTCCGAAACGTCTGAAATCTAAGCCCTCCGTAGAATGGCCCTTACACTCAGAAAAAAAACGTGATGGGCCTGAAATATTCTTTCTCAAAAGGACAAGGCCACTCAAAAGGGAGACCCTCCACCCTAAAAACCCGAAACCCTAAACCCTCAATCCCAAATCCGAAATCCTAAACCCTAAATCCTAAACCCTAAACCCTAAACCCTAAATCCTAAACCCTAAACCCTAAACCCTAAACCCTGAAGCGCCCCAAGCCCGCCTCAGTAGAGCAAGGAGGCAGGCGCTGGTCACTGCGGCCCGGCCGAGGCCCCCCCAACCTGATTCGAAACCCTACTTCGGGGTTTAGGGTTTAGGGTTTAGGGTTTAGGATTTCGGGTTTAGGGTTTAGGGTCTAGGGTCTAGGGTTTCGGGTTTTGACCGGAATAAGTAGCTAAAATAGGAACCCGGAACCAACAAATAGTATTAAAGTATAGTCCTCCAACACCCAGGAAAGGCCATGCTTGGATTAGGGGTTGAGGGTTTAGGGGTTTTAGGGTTTAGGGCTAAACCCCAAACCCAAGGAGCAGTGGATGTAGAGACGTCCTCCGCCTTGCACCTCTGTGAGGCAGTCTTGGAGAATCCTTGGCTTCCATAGACAATGGGGATTTAGGGTTTAGGGTTCATAAGGTTCAGGGTTTATATAGGGGTTTTAGGGCTTAGGGTTTGGGGATTTAGGGTTTAGGGTTTGGGGTTTTAGGGTTTTTTCTTCATGGGGGAGGGGTCGAGGGCTTTTGGCTGCTTTCGGTGCTTGGACCCTTAAGATTCTGGAATTCTGGCTGCACAGGGCGCGCCTGGAGGAAAAAAACAAGAAAAAACAACGCCCCAGGCCCAAAACCCTTTAAAGCCTAAAGCCTAAAGCCTAAAGCCTAAAGCCTAAAGCCTAAAGCCTAAAGCCTAAAGCCTAAACCCTAAACCCCTAAACCCCTAAACCCCAAACCCTAAACCTTCACAAGCCAAAGGCCTCATGAGCTGCTCCTCCTTGGGTACGTGCATGTCAGGCACCTGACTACTAGTTCATGGTTGGGATCGCATTAAAATTTTAAATTTATATTCCTTGTTGGGTTTAAGTACCCTTAAAAATGTAAAATGTTACCCAACTATGACCAAGACTAAGGGGTTCCCGAACCCTCAAAAGCGTGCATGCACCGGTTAAGGGTAGACGGAGGGATGCCTAGACGCTCAATCTTTGGGTCCCTCCTGTTGTTCCTTGCCCTAAACCCTAAACCCTAAACCCTTAAACCCTAAACCCTAAACCCTAAACCCTAAACCCTGAACCCTGAACCCTGAACCCTGAACCCTGAACCCTGAACCCTGAACCCTGAACCCTGAACCCTCCCTTACGAACCCTATAGTCCATGCACCGGGCAATGAAAGAACCGGGGCGTCTCCAGGCCCATGGACACCGCCTCCTCGGCGACGACTGGGCCATAAGGCAAAAATCGCCGGGGCATCTGGAACTCCTGAGTGGTTGAGGGATCTGGGGTTTAGGCTTGGGGTCCGTAGGTCCGTAGGGTTTAGGGTTTAGGGTTTAGGGTTTATTAGGGTTTAGGGTTTAGGGTTTAGAGTTTAGGGTGTAGGGTTTAGGGTTTAGGGTTTAGGGTTTAGGGTTTGGGTGGAAGGGGCGGCGCGTGCTTTCGCTTAGAGGCAGGGGGGCGGGGGGCTGTAAGACGTAAAGAATAGTACTACAGAGACACACATGCAGACTAAGTGAATTCTACCTATACCCAACTTACTTACATACACTGAGCAAGCTGTCGGAAAGACCTGTCCATGTCTCTGACATTTTAACGCTCTAGTCACACTCATCCTCACCTTCACACTCCACCCTCAGCCCGTATGGAACCCAAAAAAAGAACATCTGTCCGAATTGCGGAACGGTTTTAGACTTTTAGAGGGTGTCTTTGAATATCAGCAATCTTGTCAAGTTAGGCATGTCTCACGGCAGATTATGAAGGTCTCCTTGTATGGGTAACCTGATGGGCAACTTCCTAGACTGTTTTGTTTTTATTGACATGGGACCCCAGGCCCTGCACTCTAAACCAAAAAGCCTTTGGGAAGCCTCCTACTGCGACGGTACACAAGACTAGACAACTCCAAGGGCCTCCAAAAAGCAGCCAAGTAGCAGGCAGTGAGACACCCTCCCACGGCCACGCTTTCAGGTTCTCTGGCGCCGGAGAGGGGATTTCAGATTGCATGCACACAAAAGCCGATATCCCGATTTCCAGCATTCGACGCAGATGCCGACGACCATCCTCCTTGCTGGGGAACTCGCCCAGGGGATCACAGTAGGGGTATCTTCCAACCATCAGCACATCACGCAGCAGCCAGTTGCAGAAGCCTCTTCGGCTTCCGCCACCTCTCGTGTAGTATGAATCGAAGGAATAGTAGCCTAAATCTTCAAGGTCGTCGCGAGCTGGGCCCAACTCACGCGATCTCCGAACTTGCTCGGCGAGTGACTCCAGCTCTGCTAAGCTGGGTGCAGCATTCCTGCTCACGCAGCGCACGTTTCGAAACCTGCGTCTTGCACGCTGTGTGCTCACAAGCAGGCAAGGGGCCAGGAGGGTGCCGGTAATTCCCAT